TTTCAGTTTGGTTTTTTTTACGGGGGGAAAAATTAAGCGGTGTTTTTCCAAAACAGGGGTTTTCCAAAAGGAAAGTTTAAAAAAAGGAAGAAAGAAGGAGGGGGGGGGGGCAGCGCCAAGCTTTAATGTGGGTCTGTAGAAGTAGGCAGGCTGAGTGAATGAGACTACCAGAATCGAGTTTCTATTTGCCTCTTGCCCCGGCCACAAGACTGCTTGATCACCATCCAACTGCTTCTATAACGTGACGGTCATATTTTCCACTGGCCGTGTCTCTATTCTCGACGTCTCTACCTTATTGGGCCATTCCATTCTTTTTTGTTTACGTATATGCCGAAGAGACACATGTGATTGTCTCTTGTTACACCTCCCGAATGTTTACTGCTTCGTGTCACCTTCATATTCTCTTACCTCGTCATTGTGCTGCTCCAAGCATCCCGTTCATCCATCATCCACACCTTCATTCAAGCTCCCGTTCCGTTAATCTGGACTTTTGGACTTGATCGTCAACAACCTTTGTACACAGTTCATATGACAGGTCAGTTGCTAACTACATGCTTCCGTCCGGTTGGTCGAAACCAATCACAAGGACGCCCCCGGAAAGCTCCCAGAGTGTCGTTTATAGTTTGATTCACAGTCAGACCAGACGTAGTGATATCTCTGAATGGCCTGGCTCTAAGACGTACGTGCAAAACTGCCTGCTCAAGGAAAGTGCAGGTATGCATAACCCGAATACCCATTTTTCTTACATTTTTCTTTTTTTTGGGGGGGGAAAAAAAAAGAAAGAAAAAAAAGAAAATATACTGAACACAGCGTGGCTTTGTCTTTAATCCAGAATTGTGGGCCATTGTAGCCCATGTAGCCCATCTACCATATCTCGTCCCTCGCCTGTGACCATCCCCTCCTTTTATAAAATTTCCATGTGCAATACATTTCCCTCATTCGAAAGCGTCACAATCAGTGAGCATGAGAATGTCCGATGCTGCCATCAACAATAGTCTGCTGGCACTTCCTCAAGATAGCTGCCTGCCTAGCCACATCAGCTAGCCTCCCGATGACGTGTTTGTTGCCTTCCACAAATCCGTACAGCGCATAAGGGATTCCAACATCGTTACAGAAGTCTTGGACTAGCTTCTGCGTCTTGCGAAGGTTATGTCTAGGAATGCGCGGGTACAAGTGGTGAATGGCCTGGAACTGGAGGCCGCCGTGGAAAAAGTCAAGCCACTCGGGGCAGTCGACGTCCATGGTGGTGCGCAGCATGCGCTGCGGGAAGGACTCATGAGGGCCCAGATCAGAGGTGGACATGGCGAAGTGTGACAGAGTGATCTGCACGTGCAACGGGCTGGTGACCGCGTGGGAGATCATGAAAAAAACAAAACGGTTCCAGTTGCCATCGATTGCCTTGTACATGATCCCATAACCGAACCAGTACCAGAAGAAGACCTGACCGACAAGCTCGAGATGCCGGTGCCACCAGGCAGGACCGTGCTTGGGTGCCTGGCCCTTGAGCAAGTACTCCCACGAGAGACGGTAGAGGTTCAGGCGGGCGAACATCATGACGATGTAGTAGAGGTAGTGCTGGAGGGAGACGAAGAATTTGGCAAAGATGTCGTACTCCATGACACGGTCATAGTATGTGGACCGCAGATTAGTGAAGAAGCGATGGGAAATGGCGAAGAAGGGGAGGTGTTCTATGTCCGGATCGTGCTCAGGGCTGTTGGTGATGATATGGTGAACGTTGTGGTTGCGCTTCCACCAACCTAGACTGAGACCACCGATGAAGTCGGCAATGATGATGCCGATGACAGTATCGACATGGAAATGGTGCGTGATGCCCATGTGCCCGGCGTCATGGGCAGTGAAGACTAGCTGGTGCCAGAAAGAGCCGAGACAGAACGCACTAGGAACGTACCAACCCCATTTTAGGAACAGAAGACACCCGCAGAAGAGGAGAGTATAGCGGAATCCTTCGATGGCGTAAGCAACATAGTTGCAGTCATAGAGTCCTTCGGCCTTGATGCGCTCGTTGAGTTCACGATACTTTCGGATGACGGTGTCTTGCGTTCCCTCATCGAGCGGAGGGTACTTGTCGAGATCGAGCCTGATCTCTTGCCTTGTTAGAGCGTCGAGATGGGCCATGCCATCCCTAGGGCCATCATCGGCGCCCTTGGCACTGGCCTTCTCATCCTCAATGGAGGAAATCGAGGTGAAGGAATCGGATCGGCTTACGGCCGACTTTGACCGGGCGTTAGGACGGGCGTGGAGTTGGTTCAATTCCGGCGCCGATTCTCCATCATCAAAGACCGGGGAAGGGGCGGGCGAAGGGGTCCGTGAGCTCTCGGATTCAGTAGAGGCAGCCTGACTCGCAAATGATGACGATCCGAAGCTAGTGTCCTCATCGTAGTTCGCAGCTCTGGCCCTTATTTCTGGGGACTCCTCTTCCCATTCTTCACCTTCTTCTCCTCTTGGCCTGAACTTGCCTCCTTGTATCGGCGGCAAGAAATTCTTCCATCTCCCTGGTATCCTGCCCACTCTGTACCTGTTCATCTGAGCTCTTGCTTCTGGGGAATGTAACCTGTAGTGATTCCAAAAAAGTACACGCTATGAAGTCAGCATCTTCTTCTTCACCGGGGCCCGATAACTATACACCGGACTGGATCCAGACTGTCGCGATTGGTGCATGATATTGTGTTTTGTACGCACCCGTTTACTTCATCGGTAGCATCCCTCCCAATCATGTGCTTGATGGCCTTGTCACCACCGGGGTGATACTTGACCCAAGCGTCAACCTTCAGGACATATTGATCGACAATGATGATATGGCGACCTTCAGAAATCAAGGCCTCGATCTCACGGCGGGAAATGAAGGGATATGTCCGCTCTGCTGTTTTAACTGTCGACTGCTGAGCCGTTGCGGTATCTTCGGCAGCGGCGCGTGATGGTGATGGGGGTTTAGAAGCCATTGTTGTCTTTGCGCAAGACTGTTGTGTTTTGAACGAAAAAAGATAGAGGGATTCGCTACTGGGTGGAACAAAACACCCGCCGTCTGTGGACAGGGAAAGGTTGTGGTGTTGTCCTCGCAACAGTTCAGGAAACTCAAGGTCAGTTTTGATAGAAATCCAAGGTGTTGATACTAGTAGGTGGGTGGTCGTTGAAGGTGGGACGGATAGGGCCACAGAGGTTGGTGAGTGGTTCGATACGTCGATTCTGATGCGGGCGCTGTTCCTGGGCAGTGGACATGACTACCCAAAACAACGGGCATGGGACGATGTGACATTGGATAAGATCATAGGTTCCTACTGGAGGGGTTGACCGAGTGGAAACCTCACCGCTGGCGCGTCTACCCAGCTTGCCAGCTCCAGGCCATCCCGCTTGGCGTTTGCTGCACCACATAGGGGTCATACAATACCAGATGTCACGCAAGGGTTCTTGCCACTCCAACTTTTGCGTCTGAAATTAAACCACATTGCTGATCGCCAACGACGTCTTTGGACCCTGGGTGTTCAGGGTCACAACTGCCCGCATGTCATTAAAACATAGGGGAAGAACAGAACAAAGGGTCCAAAGGATATTCAGAGGGTTAGGGTCCCTGGTCGATGGCTTCTCAAACAAATAACGTCATGCCAAGCAACATGCCCTGTACACAAGAATACACATCAACACCAGAACGCAGTTAAAGACCGGCATTGATGGATACTGCTACTCGGACTAAAAAGTAATTGCACCGGCATGGAGAACAGACAAGAATCATCCAAAACCCACAGCCTTCTGATAACTCGGCAATGTTAACATAGAATAGCCAGCAGCCTTCCTGCCTTCCCATTTGGCTACCAAGGTAGCTTTTCTGTATCTTTTAAAATCTCGTGTATTCATCGAGTCTCGAGCCCAACCAGGACCCGCAAGGCCAAATAGCCCTAGTCCAACCAACAAGCGGCGTCTATTTAGCATGTCATGTGAAAACCCCCTATTAAACCCTTGAGGGAAAGCCCGTGACTACAGTATAAGTACACACCTCCTCCCATCCTCTTTCCATACTCCCAATGCTAGAAATCCAGACAGCACATTTTTCCGTGCTTAGAGCCATTCAACGCCAAAACGCTCCAGCTGCTTAGAAGTGGATGGCCTTTGAGTGAGTGGCCATGGCCGCCTCCTTGAAAGCCTCGGCGAGGGTAGGGTGAGCGTGGCAGGTGCGGGCAATGTCCTCGCTGGAAGCGCCATACTCGAGGGCAAGGGTACCCTCAGCAATCATCTCACCGGCGTTGGGACCGATGATGTGGACACCGAGAATCCGGTCGGTCTCGGGGTCGGCGATCATCTTAACCATGCCCTCAGTGTCAAGGTTGGTCTTGGCGCGGGAGTTGGCGCTGAAGGGGAAGGTACCGACGCGGTAGGGAACACCAGCCTTCTTGAGTTCCTGCTCGGACTGGCCAACCCAGGCAACCTCGGGGAAGGTGTACATGACCGAAGGAATGCAGCCGTAGTTGACATGGCCGTAACCCTTCTTGATGTACTCGACGACAGCAACGGCCTCCTCCTCAGCCTTGTGAGCAAGCATGGGGCCGAAGGTGACATCACCAACGCAGCGAATGTGGGGGATCTTGGTGCGGTACTCGGAGTCAATGATGACACGGCCGCGCTCATCCTTCTCGAGTCCAATGCTCTCAAGGCCGAGACCCTCGGTGTAGGGACGGCGGCCAATAGCGACAAGAACAACGTCACCCTCGAGCTGTGTTCGAACAATGTCAGCTTTGAAAATCACGACAACGAACAGATAGCCTGCAGGGTATCATAAGCCACTCACAGTCTCGGGCTTGCCACCCTTAGCGGAGTCGACCTCGAGCTTAACGGTCTCGCCAGTCTTGTCACCGGAAACGACCTTGGTGCCGGTCTTGAAGTTGATGCCCTGCTTCTTCAGGATCTTCTGGATGGACTTGGCAACCTCAAGGTCCATGCCGGGGCCGCCAATCTGGTCGAGAAACTCGATGACGGTGACCTGGGCGCCGAGACGGGACCAGACAGAAGCCATTTCGAGACCAATGATGCCACCACCGATGACGAGCATCTTCTCCGGGACCTTCTCAAGAGCAATGGCGCCAGTGCTGCTGATGACGCGCTTCTCGTCGATTTCGAGGCCGGGGAAGGGGGTGACCTCGGAGCCAGTGGCGATAAGGATGTTCTTGCCCTTGACGGAGGTCTCGCCGCCGTCGTTGAGCTTGACGTTGATGGTGTGCTCGTCGGCGAAGGCGCCGGCACCCTTGATGTACTCGACGCCGTTCTTCTTCAGGAGGAACTCGACACCTTTGGTGAGACCGCTGACGGACTGTTCCTTGGCCTTCATAAGCTGGGCGAGGTTGAGCTTGACATCGCCGACCTCGATGCCGCGGTGTTTCGAGTCGTGGAGGATCTGATGGTAGAGATGGGAGTTGTTGAGGAGCGACTTGGAGGGAATGCAGCCGACGTTCAGGCAGGTACCGCCGAGGGTGCCGCGCTTCTCGATACAGGCGACCTATTTCCAGGCAACATGGGAGATAGCAGTCAGATATTGTCGTCATTCGTCGGTGTTGCGGTGTAGTTGATTCGCGATGCGACGCACCTTGAGACCCTCCTGGCCGGCCTTGATGGCAGCAACATAGCCAGCGACACCACCTCCAATGATGACGAGATCCTTCTCCTCTACGGGCACATCAACAGTCAGCCGACCAGAATCCTTTGACGAGAACCAGCTCTTGATGTTGGCAAACAGACCAGACTCGGTCGCATAGGTCCTCCTCAACCTGGGAGAAACGACGACAGGGAGCCTGTATGTGGTCGTCAGGTCAGCCTCAGTACGCGCATGAGAAAACAATGTGTCGGGCATCCGCCGGCAACCGGGACAGTGAGCTTACCCCGAGGGCTTGAAGGCGGACCGGACGGCAGCACGGCCTATTAATCTTTGGGACAGCATGGTGAAAATATGTGCTGAATGAAAAACCAGAAATGGAAACAGGGAAAATTCGAAGGAACGAGCGCACTGCAGAGAGATGCCCGGGGAAGCAGGGAATGCGATTCGATGGTGAGACGTCGAAAGTGTGTACTGAACTGCAAAACGCCGCGGGAGAGACAATTGTTGGGATTCGAGGCGGAAGCTATTCACGGCAAGCGAAAAATGTCCAGTCCCACTTGTTCGGGTTGCCAGCCCGTCAGAGGCTCACATCGCTCAAAGGGCACCCGCTTTCCACCGTGCCCGTCCCCAAGCTGGCCCGCTCGAGACAGCGCAGAGCGGAGTGGTAGGTAGGACGGAGCGGAGTAGGAACACCACTACCTAGGTAGGTAGTAGGTACCTCGAATCTCGCGTACATTACACTAAATAGGTAGGTACTGCCTGATTGTGTTATTAGTGTGCTACAGTAAGTAAAAGTATTATGATGCCAGTGTTAGGCGGGACGGGCAGCGCGCTCTTCGCCGTCTCACTGTCGCTGCTGCCCTGACTGCTTCGTCGAAGAAACCCGTCCCCGAATACGTAAGGTACGGTACTGGCCTTGTTGCGTCCTGTGATTGGTCAAGATGAACTTGCGCGTGCAGCAGCTGACTCCAAAATTTTGACATCTCTGCACTCCCGCTATGTAGCCATTTTTCTGACAGCTTGTGTTTGACATTCCTCTTGCTCCTTGGCGCGATCCCCTCTTTGCTCCCCTCTTTACTCCGCCCGTCAACGCCAAATAACCCCAGCTTGCCCAGCTGCCGAATTGGAGAAGCATAGCCTGTCCCTGACCCGTCTCCTGACTTTTGTTTGTCGAACGACATACAATCTCGAGTCCCGCCCGACCCTCATGAAACCCCGTCCCTTCGTTGCAAAACGAAATGACATCATTGAGTGCTATTCACAGACCACTATATTTCCGGGCTCCCGCAGACTCGAGTCGGTCGCTCCCTGGATCCCTAGTAGCAAATCGTCCTTCCAGACAACAAGTTCCCCAAAGCTACCCCCAACTTTTCCAGTCCCGCCGTCAACGCTAATATCTACGAAGTAGGTAACTACATCGGAGCGAGAATACTTGGGTTAGTTCCATGAACTTGTCAAGATATTGGTCAATGGCCTTTTGTATGGACCCCGGCACACTTGTATCCCTGATCATTATGTTGCTATTCCCGAAGATATCCGATCTATATACAGGTATCCAACAAAGCAAAATCATTCCACCAAGCCTTCGGCGGCGAGCAGCGCATGCTCCAAGGCCGCCATGGCTGTCTTGCAACCCTCCTTGACGAGCTTGGTGTTGGCCGCTCCTCCCGCGAGATCCGACTTCCGGACCACCTTCTTGATGAACCATTGCAGGCCTCTGGCAAGCTCGGGGATCCCTTCCACAGCCACAAACACCGAAGTAATCGTCTCATCCCGATCCTTGTCGCCGCCTTTTCCGGCTTCCAGAAGCACAGTAATCAGCAGGATCTCCACTAGCGCCCGCGTCTTGGTTTGTAGATAAGGCAAATTGAGGCATTTCAGAATTGCCAACCCTAGCGATCCACCTGCCACCATGGCCCCGAACAGTTTTGCAATGTTGACAAGCCGCCGCATGTCCATCGCATCTACATCCTCCCCATCCTCTGCGTCATCGCCAAAAACTGACTCTCCGAGACGCCTGAATAGCTTCCAGAGCGCGTCTTGGAACGACCACCGGATTTTGCGATCCCCGCAAAGCTTCTTGGCCACCAAGGTGTAGTATGGGTTGTAGACCTGCTCTGCGCCGGCACACTGGATGATCACGTATGGAATCTCTCTCTGTCGCTCCTTGTTCAGGCGCAACTTGAGGATGCGGTAGTAGGCATCCTCGTAGTCCGTGGCGGACATTATCGACACAAAGATGGACCGGCGCACGTCCGTGTTCATCTGGTTTTCTCTGGCAAGTTCTCCGAGGTCAGGCATGTCCTCGACATCCTCCAAGACAAAGCTTTCGTCGTCCGAGTCAACGCTATCCTGTATGACACCGTCCTGAGTCAATGGCTTCTTGTCACTGTCCTTATCTTTGCCTGCCCAGCTAGCGCCTACAAGCCACCATTTGCCCTTCTTGTCGGCATCGCGTATATCGGCAAGGGTCATTCGCAAAGGCTCGGCCGTCTTCATGGTTTTCAAGGTGCCCAAAAGCTTCTTCATCTTGGTTGTGTGCTCCGTGAGAACGGCGGAAGCGCCTAGACCCGTCTTCATCTTGTTGTTTTTCAGGTCGTTGATGGTCTCAATCATAAATTTAGTTCTGACGCTGAGGTTCTTCTCTCCGATCTTGGCAACAGCCGGGCGGATAAGGGTAACAATGTCCTTGACAGACATGGGGTCATCTTGTCGGAGGGCTGGGCCAGCGATGCGCACAATCCTGAGCAAAAGTTCCGCGTTCAGCTCCGAAAGATCACCCAAAAGGATTCGAATGAAATCGAAGAGCAAGTTAGGGCCCACGAGTTGAAAGTTATAGAGTTCGGATAGGAAAGTGATGAGGTTGGATGTCTGTTTCGGTACGTCTGGCCGCTCCTTTGCAGCCTCCTTGGCCTCTTCATAATGCCTATCAAATCGCTCGATCACTTCTTGGATTAATTGTGCGCCAAAGTCCATACCAATCACCTTGAAGATACCGGTAGCGAAACCCGCGGTAAGCACGAGCAACGTATCAGGCAGCGTCGTTGGCTCGCACACCTGAATGAGTAGGAGATCGACAATGTTCGACGTAAGATGTTGTCGCGGGTTGTCGCGGTAAAGCCTTTCAAAGTCCATAATGATGGATAAAAGATTAGACTCTGTCATCCTGTTGATGAGACCTTGTGTTTGACGGCGAATGCGGGCCACCAACTCCGCTTCTGAGCCCGCCTCCTGTCGCTTCGATGGTGGCACGTATTTTACTACAGTCCGCCCAGTTGTGGGCGCAACATATGGGTTTTCGCGGACTCGTTCTGGCGGCTTTTGTAGCGTTTCTTCGTCGTTGTCGGATTCGTCGTCGTCGTTGTCGTCGTCGTCGTCGTCGTCGTCCTCGTCCTCGTCAAATCCTCCAAACTCACCCTTATCCTCGCCCGAGATGCTGTCTTCTTCTCCATCTTCATCGGAATCGCCTTCGACCATGTCTTCGTCTTGGTCAACGTCGTTGTCTTCGTCAGAGTTCAATCCCTCTAAGAGATCGTCCAAGCCATCGTCCTCCTCGTCCAGTTCGGAGACTTCATTTTCTTCCTCGTCTAGTTCGAATTCCTTCGTCTTCTTCGCCTCTTCCGCTTTCCTCCTTTTCGCCGCAAGCCACTCATCCGCTTCAGACTTCCGCTTCCTTTTCTCGGCTGTTTCGTCGTCTACGCCAGGGAGGCCTTCTAGTAGATCAAGAAGACCATCCTCCTGGAAGGACTTGGGAAGCGATTTGCGTCCCTTGATGCCGAGCTTCTTTTCGAGGTCGGCGATCTCCTTGTCGTCTTGCGCCAATCGTTCCATGACAGTTTTTGAAATTTTTGGCTGCGACTTCGATATGATTTGTGTTGGGATATCACTTTCCTCTTCATCGTCCACGTCTTCGCCGTCTTTGTCGTCTTCTTCGTCGAGGTCTAGCTCGTCGTCCTCGTCCTCGTCAAGATCGATATCGCCCTCGTCATCGAAACCCTCATTATCGTTCTCTTCGAGGGCAACATCTTCATCCTCATCCTCCAATGGTCGTTTCTTCCCGTTCTTCAAGATGGGCTTGGGTTCCTTTGCTTCCTTTGTCGATGCGACATCGACCTTCTTCTGTGGTTTTGGGGCTGTAGCGCGCTCGGTATGGTAACTTCTTGTGGACGAGGTGCGGTGGATCCTTTTCTGTGTTCTCTCTGCTTTACGGCGATCCTTTCTAGATTGGAATTGATTCTTGCGACCTCCGTGCGATTGTTCTGCAAGAGTTAGGATTTCGTCGGAGAACCCTGATTGCCAGACAGGAATGACAATGGCTGTATGGGCGCATGAACGGAGGCACGCTCACCTTCTACGCCGAGCTCCTTCAGGAGGTTGTCAGGCAATTTTGGAGCCTTTATCCTCATGGAGGGTGCCATGTTGTAATATGCGCGTGCGGAGGTGTAGATGTGATTGATTGGTACGACCTCCAAACTTTGCAAGGCTCTCTCTTTCGTTGCTGCGTAGAAGAGCGCGCGACCGGGACCTTGCTATCGTTATCAGATAGTTTTTTTGGTTATCGGTCGGTGCAGGGTTCCAGGCGTGTCGACTGCGGGGCCAAGAGCGCCAAGAGATGAAGCAGGTCCTCGGGCAGCTGCTTGGGACCCCACCCGGCTGGTTTTACACTGGGGAAGCTCACTCCTACCAGACAGACGGGAGCTGCCCGGCCAACGGCAGTGGGGAAAGCTGCCACTCTCGTTGACTCTCATCAATCATTCTAGGTTGCCTTCACATTCACTCCTCAGCCGAATTGTTGTCTTTCCTTTTGCAAACAAGGAAAAGAAGAAGAAGAAAAACAACTGGACATCATGGGCCATTTAACTCACGATGAGGTAATGATATATGTTACTGACTGCTGTGATCCCTTCCTAAGGAGACCATGCTAATCTGACTTCAACCTACTATGGTATAGTTCTTCTCCAAGCTCACCAATCTGTTCGAGTATAGGAAGAACCAAGATCACGGAACCATCAACCTAGTACAAAAGAGGCGTACGTGTACCTACACCAACCCAGCGCAGACGGGAAACTTCACACTCGGCTTTGCTATCGTCACGACAACCCTCCCAATTCCCGCTGTTTTCCAAGCTTAAACTCCATCTCCATCCACCCGCGATGAGCTAAGTAGAGTGAAGCTCTGTCACCAAAGCTAACCCCTCCCACAGTATCCTACAGCACACCTTCCCAATCCATGGATACCGACCCTCTCACCGACCTCAACCCTGCCACCCCGCTCCCGGTTCTCATCCGCGCCACCAACGCCAAGGGCAAGGACAAGAGGACAGAAAAGGTCAAGCTGTCCACCATTGTCGAGCCAGCAGACCTGGAAACCTTCTACGGGAGGTACGCCGATGTTTGCAAGAAGGGCATGGGGGCGTTGAAGCCGAGAGACAGGACCAAGAGGAAAAAGCAGTCGAGGAAGAAGAAGACAGGTCCTGCAGCCGCTGGAGGTCCTGGTGTTGGTGCTGGTGGGACTTCTATGATGGCTATTCCCTGATCGGACTCGAAGCAAGCGTCGCAAATTACACCATTGCTTTTTCTGTCTTCTTGTGTGTACCTGACCTAACGGAAGGGGGGATCTGTATGAGGGTACCGTATTAAATTTTGTAATATTCCCAAGTTTTGGTGGAATACCTTGGTTCAAGTCAGTGGGTACGTATGGTGAGGAAAGCGTTGGTGAGTAGTACCGCATCATAGCCTTCAACCTGCCACTCTCGGTTGCCCTACCTCTCGACTCACCTGCTCGTTGTCGGTATTACCCTTCAAGACGACTAGCAAGAAAGGAAGGGAGAAAAAAAAAAAAAAAAAAAACCTGTTTTGGGGGGGGGGGGGGGGGGGGATATTAAAAGCTCAGCTGCCTAACTGGCTTGCAGCACACATCTACTATCTACGTGAGCTACTGGAGTTAATGAAAGGTGCGAACTAAAGGGGTTATATGCCCGTTCTGGAGAATGTTCAGTCCTGCCGCAGGAAGTCTGCGGCCCTTCGTGAAATGGAGA